AGGCGAGGGCGGTCAGACCGATGCATTCATGTCCGCGTCCGTTACGAGGTAACGTACCTGCGTGCGTAGTGCCGTCCTTCGCGAATGCGGGCTTGAGCTTCGCAAGCGACTCGGCAGTGACGCCGTCCCGGACACCGTCGTCGCGGTCGACGATGATCTCCGACTCCTGCTCCGTCTTCGGGTCGACAATCTTCACCTTGAGGGGCACGATCTCGTCCTTGAACTTGCCCGCCTTCTGCGCAGCGGCGGCCTTCTGGAAGGACTTGGCCGCGAACTCGTCCTGCACCTGGCGGGAGATGTGGAACTCCGCCGCGACGTTCTCGGACGTGATGCCCATGGGGATCAGGCAGTCCTCGGCCTCCTTGCATGAGAGCACGGCTTCTGAGAAGCCGTCGGGCATCGCGCCGCCGCCGTAGCCGAACGTCATGGACTCGACACCAGCACCTGCGTCGTGTGAGACATGAGCGAGAAGACCAAAGGCGCATACAAGCAGCCCACTCACCAATACCGATGTCAATCTGTCCGCTAAGAATCTCTCCCGCAATCACATTGACTGCCTGGAGGCCGGACGCGCACTGCCGGTTCGTTGTGCTGATGGGGACGGTATTGGGGATGCCGGCGTGCAAAGCAGCCATGCGCGCAGCGGACGCGCCTCCACCAGCGGGGAGGACGTTGCCAACAGTAATATCGCCGATGACAGCAGGGTCAATGCCGGCCTTCTTGACGACCGCGCTGAGCACGCCCGAGAGGATCTCCTCTGGACGGGTATCCTTGAAGCCGCCCTTCTTTGCCTGCAGTCGACGCGTCAGCCATGCGTCCCACTCATCGTCACCGCGCACGTCGCCGTCTGTCGCCGTATGCGCTTCCTCCCTCCCTCGGCGCCATTCAATGCGACTGAGACACGTACCTTCGTGATTGCAGAGCGGACGGCCGCGACGATGACGACGTCATTGTCGTTCTGCGTGAGTGCGCGCGCCTTGGGCGTCACGGCAGTGAAGTTTTGGATGCGCTGGGAGAGGGAGGTCATCGTGGCGGACAGCGAGGACAGAGTCAGAGATGAAAGGGGGAGAGTAGGACGAGCAGGAGACCGAGCAAGCTAGCTTTATGGGTGCAGTGTCCTCGGGGATGAGGTGAGCGGCCGGTCACCAAGTCGCCCCGACCCATGTGAATTCTACCCCACATCACTTTCGGGGGGGGGGGGGGTAAGCGCCCGCGGTCGGTCCACCATAATCACACTCGCGGTCTTGCGTTCACGGTTCGATTATATCCGAGCCGGGGTCTTGACACTTGTGGCTAACGCGTAGCAGCACTGGTGCTGTCATGAGACTCAAGAGAAGTCGTAACGCATGTAGATGACTAAGTGAGGAGTAGCTAGCGAAACAGTGTGTGCGATACATAGAAGAGTCCGATGGAGATGCGAGGATATTAGAACACACGGAGGACAGGATAGACAATGCAACAACACGTAGATGATAGCAATCGTGATATGGTAGAGAGCACACAACAGCATGAAGTCCGAAAGCAAGAGAGGAAAGACACGCACTCAAGCCTGGATGGGCTCCCACTCCATCCGCGTCGACGCAGACGTCGACGGCGCAGCCTTCGCCTGCAGCCCAAACCACGCAGGGATCTGCTCCCAAGCATCCTTCCTCGCCTTCGCCACCGCGAGCGAGAAGTCCTCCTTGCACGACGCGCAGATCCTCAAGCCGCAGTGGCGCGTCCCGTCCGAGAAGTCCGTCCTCGACAGCATCTCGACCGCCTGCACGAGCGAGAACAGCGGGTCCGCGTCCCGCCCCGTCGCGATCCCGCCCACCGCGCGCAGCAGGTTCAGCATGATGAAGTAGAACGACTCCCGGCAGTGGTGCCCGCTCGCGTGGTGCCGGTTCGCGCAGTTCGCGGAGATCGACCGCCCGGAGAGCTCCTGCTCGATGAACGCGGCGAGGAACCGCTGCCCGTGCTCGCGACCGCGAAAGGCGGCGTGCAGGTCCGGATGGTCGAGCCGCACGATGACCGAGTTCGCGTCCGTGGGGTCGGCGAGGGCATGGGCGCGGGTTCTGCTGGAGAGCAGCGCGGGTATGGTGGAGGCCCCGGCGGCAATCTTGCGCGGTCCGTATCGCGAGAGGTCGTACATCGCGGACGGGAGGATGTGGTCGAGTCCCAGCTCTTGGCACAGCTGGATGACGAGGATCGGATGCGGGAACTGCTCGCGAGGACAGTAGCGTGTGTCGACCGTAACCTGTTGCTCGCGTCTATCCCAGCCGCCGAGCGTGGTGGGCCAGTCCGCCTCGAGGCGCATCAAGCACCGCTCACGGAGGTGCTCGATGAGATACTTTGTCGAGAGCCGGAGAACGGCCGAGACTGCGCAAAAGTCGCCTGAAGTGGGCTGCGTGAAGTACCTGGAGAGGGAGAAGGATATGTCAGACATGTCAGCCGCATGAAAGAAGCGTTGATACTCACAAGCCGTCGTAGAGTGCCCGCAGGAGATGCAGCACGTCTCCAGGGTCGTCGTGTAGCTGGACCCAAGGGCATCCGTCGACCATGTCAGCCACAGGCTGGGGGAGGGTGAACATGTCATGGAAGATGTCCGAATGGCGCACGAGCTGGCCCCGATGCACCTTGAACGCGACATCTTGCACGAGGAGGATGATGTTGCCGTCAGCAAACCAGAAGTCCGTCGTCCTGAAGTGCTGCAGGTTCGGATGGGCGGACATGGCTGCGTCGGGCTTGAGGCGGTCAAGATGGAAGGAAAGTATGTGGGGAAGAGAACAGAATACGGAGGACGGAGGGCGGGGCGCGCGCCGACTACCCCCCGTCGATCCAAATCGAGGCTGACGTCCGCCTCCTACATCCGCAACGACGAAACACCGGGGTACAGACCGAAACGTGACGGCGTAGCTACGTGCTAGCGCCCAGGACGAGATGGTATGAGGATACACTATCGAAACACTAAGACCAAATAATACACTCCTGAGTCCTCCGGATCCATGTGAGAATAAGAGATCAGGACAAATCGTAAGGGAGGTGCAACAAGATATGCACACTCAGTGCGAGCTCGTCCCGGTTCCAGAATGTGAAGTCGGACGTCCAGGCATATGCATGCTGACCTGCGGCGAGACTGCTCTGTTCGCTTGGTTGTGCTGCGCGGCATGCACGGCAGGTGGCGGGTGGGGTATGAGACCTGGAGGCGGGCCTGCCATCATATACACGGGCACAGCCTGGTGAGCCTCCGGAGACATGCCAGACGACGAGGACGAGGACGCCGTGCCCTGGTGCGCCATCGGCGTGGTCATGGGCGACTGGTAGACGTACAGCGGCTGTGGGGGCGCAAAGTAGTAGCTGTACGACATCATGTGCTGGCCCTGCCCGTGCGAAGACGCCCCGGGGGAAGGAATGAGGCCTCCTGGGGAGGTCATGTAGCTCGCGGGCGTACGGCCGTCTGGCTGCATCCGCATGGCGGAGCGGACGCTCATAGCAGATGCATCGCTCCGCGACTGGATCGTGCCGCGGCGGGCAGGTGCCGTCGCCGGCGCAAGCAAGTCAATCTCCTGGTGTCCCTTCTGGTTCACCCCAGTATACCACGACCCCTGCGGCTTCGCCTTCCCAACGTGTGCTCTGGGCGACCGCGCGGGCACGTAGTCAAGCGCCACACGTTCCGACGTCCAGGGGAGGTCCTTCAGCTCGTGCAAGAAGTTCTTCACACGCGTGAAGTGCGTGCTGAACGAGTCGTCTGGGGGTGCGAACCGGATCGGGGAGTCCATCTTCGCGTAATCGCTCGCCGGAAGTGGGTCGACAGGCTCAGGGCTGCGGAAGCGCGGGCTGCTGGCGATACTGGCGACGAGGGGCTGACTTGCATGCGCATGCGAGCTACTGCGCTGCGAGGCCCGATGTTGACTGAGACTAGTCCGCTGTTGACTACTCCTGCGCGTGGGGTCGGCATAAGAGAGCTCTGTAGGAGACTTGGGCGCGGGGACGGGCATGTCGGTACCCTGGACATAGTGAACGCTTTCCGGGTTAGGGACGGTAAACCCTGGATCGTCGTAAGCAGGGAGAAAGTGAGACTGTCCTGGGGACATCTCCGTGCCAGGTGCGCCCTTCCGGGTGGCCTTGCGATCGTAGAAGTGGCTCTTCACGACGGCCTTCGGAAGCCTGCGCAGCCCGCTCACGAAGCCCCCGACAAAGTTCTTCGCTCGACCTCTGGGCTTAGGCTCGGGCTCTTCGGGGGCCACGGGATATGCGTACGGTTCGTGCTCGGAGAAGACCTGCTCTTGCTCCTGCTCCTGCTCCTGAGGTGCGCCACTGTCATAGCGCCCTCCGTCGGTCCACCCCTCCTCGTTTGCGCTCGGCCCTATCGACATGGCTTCCACCTCTCCCTGATCCTCCCATTCCGATCGCTCCTGCCTTCGGACATTGGCTGCCCTGTGTACGGCGCATACGGGTCTGGCTCCTCTTCTTGATCCAGCTCGGAGGGGGCCGGATAGGATGGGCGGAAGTCCATGGCACCCGGTCCGCGAGAGGGAGGGGGAGATGGTGCCGGAAGGGGACGCGAACCAATGGACGAGGGTGGAGGATGCGGAGAGAGCATACCGTTCGATACCCAGCTCGGATTGCTGGCGCGGCTGTATCGCGGCGTCCGACGAGTAGGATAGCCATTGCTTTGGCGGCCGAGAGGCGATTCGGGGTACAGGTTGTCGTTGTACTCAGACATCCTGAGAGAGGTGTCCTAGCTGAAGGTTGCAGAGAATGTGCGAGCAAAGCACACTTGAAGAAGACATGCGCAGCGCCAGCTCCGCGAGGGCACCACGAGGCATGTATTCCCGGAACGACTCACGCGGAAATTCATATCCAGCAAGAAAAGTGAAGGTTCGAGAGCACCGGCGGGCAGCACGTAGCATGTGTGGTGAAACACAGGAACAGAGCCGACATGTACGCAACCAAGTCGTGGGTGAGACGAGGAGACTGCGGAGGACTTGAAGACGCATCTACAGACTGCCCCGCAAAAAGGGCCCAACCGGGAATTGAACCCGGGACCTCGCGCATACGTGGTCTTCCGACCGGTAAACTCCCGAAGCGCGAATCATACTACTAGACCATTGGGCCGACATGAGGCCCTGTGCAGACAGCAATATCAGCTTATGGGATACATCCTGCCTTCTCCAGTTCCCAAGTACCGCTCGGTTGAGGTTCCTTTCACCCTCTTCAGACAGCTCAAGCTGCAGACATTATGGTAAGTACCATCGTCATTTGGTTGCGTCTGCATTATCTTCAACTTCGCTCTTCTCAGTATGGTGACATTGAGGACCTTGTCCTCTCAGGGAGGTTATTCAATCCGCCATCGCGTTCCAGCTCTCCCGTACGCTCTCGATCACCCTCTCCCGGACCAGCACCATGGCCGACCGAAGCCGATGATTTCGAATACGACTCAGATGCGGAGCGACGTGCAACGGTTGAGGCGCACCTCGCGTCGCAGCAGCAATCAGAGTCCATCGGTATGGGCCCTGGCAGGACTGGTGTGAAGGGTGTCATCCGCGACCGCGCAGAGGCCGAGTCTCTCGCGCGTGCGAAGCGGGGGGACGAGATCAAAGAGCTCAACCGTGCGATGGAGAAGGCTAGTCTTGGTGGCAAGACGTGGGCGGAGGAGGAGAAGGAACGGCTCGCCAAGATCGCCGCCCAGGAAGGTCGGCCGGCAGCAAGTTCTTCGAGAGCGGCGAGGAGCGGGAGGTATGGTCATCTGCGGGAGGTCGGTGTGAGGAGCTTCGTACAAGCCGTGGAAGAGGATCGGAGTGTATGGGTGGTCGTGCACATCTACGATCCGGTACGTGACTGTTCGCGCTTCGACACTTGTTTGTCATGTCCGCTCGCCACCACGAAGACATGCCCTCCAATTGCTATCTGATGTTTGTGTGATTGTGCTAACTGAAGTTTGCTCCAGTCCTTGGATCGTTGCGCTACAGTGGACGAGACGTTGTCTCGACTGGCGCGGGCATATCCCTACACCAAATTCCTGCGTGCACGGGCTGGTGCTATCGGGTTCGCATCATCAGGGAGCTCACAGCCCAATCTCAGCAAACCCTCGTCACTCTCAAAGTCGCGTTTCTCGTCCCGAGGCCTTGTTACTCGACCATCACGGATACAAGAGAGAGATGAGTTCTTCGACGATGACGTTGAGGACGAGAAGGAGGGTGGAGGCGACGATGACGACGACGATGCACCGGACGACCAGTGGGAGGACGATGAAGTAGATACAGACGTGCTGCCGACCCTCTTGGTCTACCGTGGTGGCGAGCTCGTGCACTCCTGGATACGCGTCGACTGGGAGGCCAAGCAGGGTATCGAGGAGCTGCTGAAGAGGTGTGTACCGTATTATCTCCAGCGTGCTTTCCTCACGCATGTTATCGTGCGCAGACATAGTATCCTGACATCTCCCCGCCACTTCGGCGGTGCCACGGGGAACCTCAGTTTGGACGACGATGACTTGTCGGACGATGGCGAAGAGCTCATATTCGGCAACAGCGATGACGAGCGATGATCTGTTCGGTATCTCTGCTCAGTCTTCAGTTTTCAATCGGCATGGAGTGGGTCTGGTCATCGACGCTTGTATACCATATGTAGCTGTATGCGTCCGATGTCGACGAAACCATTTGCTCACCGGACTATCTTCAGTTTGGCGGATACGAAGGTATCCCACACAAGCGTCCAGGAACAGAAGGTACGCCTTCTGAAATTCTCTTGCGACTTGGACCAGACTCAATGCAGACTCATCCTGCTTTGAATCCGGTCCAAGTCGCCGTGCATAGAGCTGATCTTTCCATCGAGCCGACCAGTTTTGAAATATCGATCCTGACTGCGGAGTCTACAAACGGCAGTTGATTTCAAACCAGCCTGAAGTAGCACCAATCTACACGCTCACATGGTCGCGGCGGATTGCAACCCAGCCTGTGCTTGGCCGCAAAGCAGTCTGGATTGCAATGTCGTCCCTCGGATACGCGAGTCGAACGGCTGTGGTACGTATCTAGCCTCGCTTGTGCTACATTGCCGTGGTGCGGAGGGAGGACATCCGACTTGCGAGGCCGACTGTCAAGCACCCCCCTGGCGGTCTCAGAATGCATATAAGGAGGGCCTCCCTTCGGTGAAGATCCTCATCCCTCCCATCCTCTTCTCCTCTGTTCCTGGTGAACATCTTGCCCTGCCCTCTTAGACATCATCTCTATCACCCACCACTCTTTTCTCACGATGTCTACCGCGGCCAGCTCCCTCCCCGACTTCACCGGCTGCTTCATCGACAAGTACTACGAGCTTGTCCAGATGCTGGGCTCTGGCAGCTTCGGCGTCGTCTATAAGGCGGTCGATACCCGCGAGTCTCCCGACTCAGACTCTCGCCACCGCGCAATCAAAATCGTCCGCAAGGCCGGCCGGTCGCCCAAGGAGCTTGCGGTCATCCGCCGCGAGGTCGCCCTCCACTCCGTCGTCGCCGGCCATCCCAGCATCGTTACCATCCACGACGCGTTCGACGACGACGAGTACTTCTACATCATCCTCGACTACTGCCCTGGTGGCGATCTCTTCGACCACGTCGTCGATAAGGACACCTATATAAACAACGACGAGCTCCTCAGGAAGGCGTTCGTCTCCCTCATCGACGCGGTCCAGTACTGCCACGAGCACAAGATCGCTCACCGCGACCTCAAGCCTGAGAACGTCCTCGCGAGCGAGGATGGTTCGAAGGTCTTCCTTGCCGACTTCGGTCTGGCCACCGTCAAGCGGATGATTGACGAGCACGGAAGCGGAACTTCCATCTACATGGCACCTGGTAAGCCCTCTCTTCTCGCAGCTCTTCGATGATCCCGCGCTAACCATCAGCCCACAGAGTGCCATGGCAAGCTGTATGGCTACGAGCCGTACTGCACGCGCACCGCGGACATCTGGGCCCTCGGGGTCATCTTCGTCAACATGCTCAGCGGGCGCAACCCGTGGGAGAAGGCGTCCATGAGCGACCCGGACTTCGCGCAGTTCGTCGACGACCCCGACTACCTCTACGACGCCCTCCCTGTCTCCGAGGACGCGTGCGACATCCTCCACGACACGTTCACGCTCAACCCGCACAGGCGCATCACCCTGCGCGAGCTCCGCGAGGCCGTCCTCAACACCGAGACATTCTTCCGCCCCTCGGAGGCGGAGTTCTCCTCCTCCTCCTCCACGAAACAGTCGGTGGGCAACGCGACCCCCGACGTTCCCCCTGGTCTCTCCCCTCCCGCCTCGCGCGGGAACACCGAAGAGGAGGAGGATGACGATGAAAGCCCGGTCGTGACCCCGGAGGGCACGGTTGACGGCAATTGGAAGTGGACGCCGTCGAAGAAGACCGAGAATGTCGATTGGAAGATTGGGTCTATGGCGCAGCTGCTGATGGCTCGTCATCGTCTTGAAGAGCAGCTGGGCTGCGATTAACTATACTATCATGGCCCCACTACCATCACCACCACCACCACCACCATTGTCTGGCCGTCTCGGTGCACCGCATATCATTATTCCTTAACTTATCCAAAAGCAACCTACTGTATGCGCATCGCAGTAGAGCTGGCACCCACCGGCCGGAAGTCACCTAATAGACATCACCGGACAATCAGCGATCAGAAAGGGTTGGACAACAATGTTTTTGACACGTAGGTGCGACCGCATTCTGTCGTTCTAGGGTCTGGATGGTTCTGGCCGTTCTCCAAAGCTTCATGAGCATCCTTCACGATGTCCCTGGAGTGGTTAAACTTAAGACGCCGACGCCGGCCCGGGGAAACCCACCAAGGTCCGAGTCTGCCGAGAGCGCGAAGCGCCTTCCTCCTGCTCTGCTGCCGCCACGACGACAAGCGTGGCCCAAGTCCTTCTACTACTAGAGTTGAGTTCTAGTAACCGCTCGGCTGGACTGTCTGTCGAACGAGCTCGGCGGATGTGGCAGCAACGGTTCTTCGCGACCGTATACAAGAGGACTCCGTCTGCGACCGTACGTAGATCTTGTTTGACGAATGGTCAAACTCCGCAGGCTGATCCCACCTGCCCGTTTGGGGAGCTCGCACACTGACCGGCGACTGGCTTGCGAGTCCAGCCGGCATACGTCACAAATCAGAGTGACAGTCCCGGGACGCGCACTGCCGTTGACGTGGCCCTCCGGATCCAGGTGAGAGAGTACCACTTCGCGATCTTGGCTTTGAAGAGGATTTTGAGAGGATTCTGGGATGCAGAACCTCGCCAGAGTCGCTGTCAGTCTGACTCACCCATTCGTGCAGATGACGGAGAACCCTGCCTCATTCCCAGGAAGTATATCGCATGCAAGTCGTGAGCAAGACTCGTGGTGCACCTCAAGGCAGCTGAAGGACTGTTCCCTACTTGTGCGCGTCTCTCTACCTGTCGAACTACGCGGGAAGCAAATGATGGAGTCTGCTTTGAACCAACCTTAAACAGGCAATGCGTGCGCAGCGCGCTGACGCCGAGGAAGCGTATAGAGTGTTCACAGCTGCAGGCGTCCTGGCCCGCCGTGCCCGCCGACGATACTGCGACGATGAGGCTTCTGAATCGTATCCTCTTTGTCTTCTGGCAACTCTGGGTCATACTGGCAGCCGTTATAGCTCAGTACTATTCAGACCACGCTCGTCCATCCGTGACGCTCGATCAAGCCAGTGTCACCGGTATAACAGACGGGTTGGTGGAAAGCTTCCTCGGGATCCCGTACGCAGAACCTCCGTGAGTAGCGGCGCTATTTGTGGGTCTTCCTTGTGTCGCATTGCTGAACATGATTTCTATCAAGCGTCGAAAATCTTCGTCTGCAGTTGCCTCGACTCATCGATTCCGACAACGGTACGCTCGAGGCAAGCGCGTTCGGCAATCAATGCTTCCAGCAGACGGCGGAAGCACTTGGGAACTTGCCTCCCGAGGTTCTTCAAGGTTTAGGGCTTCTACTCGAACTTCTGTCCCAGGTCACCAACGTGACAGAGAGCGAAGACTGTGGGCGATAGACCTCTGGCTTGATGCCGCTAATCCCAGACTCACTACGCAACTCGTGGCTGTATGGGTCTGTACCTCAATGTCGTCCGTCCAGCGAACGTGTCCGCCGA